GATATAAGTTAACTCTGAAGTTCTCTCCCTTTTACCTTGTTATGACTTTCCCAGAATTTATGAAAAGCACCTGGCGATTTTATCTTGACAAGCCCTGAGACTGCCGGCCTCACTGATTATGGAGTGACCCCCTCCCAACCCCCCCCCCCTTTCTCCTTTCCCCAAACAGCTGGTTTCTTTGTTTAATGAGACAGGCTTTTAATACTCCCTCTTCTTTCCTTCCCTTCTCCCGTCTTAGAGATTCCAGGGTGGTTTATGCTATGAATTCTCTGGTTGGGGAGAAGAGGCATTAAGACACCCCTTTCCTCCTTCCCTTCCCCCTCCTTTCCTGCATTCTTGTAGTTAGTGGGGAGAGAGATTTAGCACCATCCTTGGTGGGGGAAGAAAGTGGCTTATTATTTGCAAGCTGGCTGCAAGCTCCCCAGACAGTTTGGCCTTGTTTAATTTTCTTGTCTTCGTTTCCCTATTCCACTTGCTTAAAAATTTTCCTAGCTTCTCATGATCCTGTAACTCTTATTTATACAAAATTGCTGCTCACTTTTTAGGAAGAGAATTGTTTGGTGCATTTGTTATTTTTTCTAGTGCAAAACAATTCATTGTTATGCTATAATATGCTATAATTTACTGTGAATATTCTATTTTTATTCTTGGAGGCACCATACCTGCAGGATTATTTCTTGTTCTCATGGACAATGTCAGAATGAGAGCTATTTAAGTATCGTAGTGATAGATATTGTCAGTGAACATGTGCAAGGGTTGGCAAAAGTAGGTTCACAGTTGTTTGTATGGAAAGTTATACAATAATTAATAAATAATAATACAAGAATTAACTTTCATGTACTCACAACTGTAAACCTCCTTTGACCCGCTCCCTGTATTTAAGAAATTGACTATGTCTCTCTTGATTATTGCCATAGCTCCAAAGCTTAGCACAATAGTAGTTAGATAGGTGGCAGTTTGTAAATATTAGTTCAGTGAATAAATATTAGCCTGGCTTAGATTCTTAGGAAATGCAGAAAAAAGGACATGTCATCTCTTTCCTCTAAGATGTGTAGTCCTGTGGGAAAGATAAATACACATAAACATCAGATAGTGCAGTTTTTATGGTAAGTAGTTGAAACAACTGGGAGTTGATATTACCTGGGCAAAGACTACATGGTGGAGTTATATTTGAACCTCTTTGAAAAATGTTATAACATGATCAGAAAGGAAAACAAGTTTTGTGAGCTTGGCAGGAAGAGCAGAAACAGACAAATCAATGTATCACAAAGATATATTTAAGTCAGAATGTTAGGCTGTAGAAAATGTTGGGGAAGCTTTGTAGAGAAGTCTAAGGAGATTTGCTTCTTTGTATAACATGGAAAATAATTTCACTGATGTTTAGAGATTTGGGAAATTACATATTCACTATTTTTTCCTGAAAGGTACCTGATAGTACTGTGCAGGATAATTTTCAGAGCTGAGAGATTTGTGATGGGAAAAAAATAAGAGTTTGGTGACCATTTTCTATATTAAGTTTAGATTAGTAGAAACAGGCAGTGTTGATGAATTTGGTGTGGAGGGTAAACTCAGAATAAAAGAAAGCTTGTAGGTTTAGAGTCCAAAGGTGTTGGCAAGCACATGGAAAGTGAATCTTCATTATTGAAGGAACAGTGCAGGTACTGTAAATATTTATGCAAAGTCCAAAGCTGCCAGTGTGCTGAGCGGCAAGGAGCTGTGTTCTACAAGCCTGAGAGTTAGAAGAACTGGGTTCTGGCATGATTTTGATGAGAAGCCCACTGTAATTCTTATCCTGTGTCTTTATTTGTAAGATGCTACAAGTCCCGCTTTGTAGTCTTTGTAACCTTGCTTATTACATCTAGCAGCTTTTTTATAGGTCCATTTGGATTTTCTACAAGAAAGGTCATTATAATCTGCAAGTAAAGACAGATTTCTAATTTATATGTCTTTAATTTCCTTTCCTTATTTTATTGCATTGGCTAAAAACTTAAAATGTGAACAAAGTGGTACAAACTGACATAGTTGCTTAATTCTTGATAGTGGATTCCAGATTGAAATGTACTACAATGGTGCACTTACCTATAAAGTAATACAAAGAGAAAACACTCAGTCGATCACTAAATATAACGTCAGCTGGATGTTTTGTTAGATGTTCCTTATTAGGATGAGGAAACTACTTTTTATTCCTACTTTTCTGAAAATTGTTTTCATGAAAGGTTCTGAATTTTGTCAATCACATTTTGTGTATCTTTTGTGATTATCTTGTCTTTGTTTTACAAATATGGTATATCACATTAATTGATTTTGAATGTTGAAGCAACCTTTTATATTGGGACAACCCTACTTAGCCATGGGGTGTAATCCTTTTTATATGAGGCATCTATGTTCATGAGGAATAACAGTCTGTAATTTTCTTGTGATGTCTTGGCTTTGGCAAAAGGTAATACTGGTATGAGTTGGGAAATAGTTATAAACAAAATATCCTGAAATTGTAGAATATACATTACACACACACACCTATAACCTAGTGTAATTTAACTTAATCTCATTCGTTGTCAATAGTCTCTTACACGTTTTTTGCTTTATCTTGTGCAGTTACAATTTATACCTTATGGTATACTTAACATAGCTCAATTTACCTGCCCTAGAGGCACCAGGTGACTAAGTTTGTGCTTAGCTCTCTGACCTTTTTAAAAATTATTGTTACCTTGCTCATTGTGCCCCAGCAATTCTGAGTTTCTTGCCTTTCCTTAAATATACCGAGTTTATTTCTACCTCAACAACTGTGTACTCAAAAGTTGCCTGAAAGTTTCTTGATCATTCATTCTTATTCACTTCACTGTTTTCTCACTTTGATTGGTTCTGCAATCTCTTGTCATTACCTCAGAGAGCATTTACCTATCTTATTTAAATTAATATTTTCCCCTCCCTGCCTATTCTCATTATTTACATTCTCTTGCCCATTTTAGTTTAAAGCACTCAGCACTTCCTATATTACGTTAGAATTTATTTGCAAATATGTAGTTTTTTGTGTTTCTCTCTCTCTCTTCCCAATTAGAGGGTGAACTCCATGAAGTTCAGAACTTGGTCTGTCCTGTTAATCACAGTTTTCAAAAGACCTGAATATAAATACCTGAGCCATCACTGTTTCCAATAAATATTTGTTGAATGCATGAATAAATTATTACACATTGTGATATTATGAAAGGAAGTATAGGGCGCTGAGAGGGAATAGAAAGATGTACTTCAGATTCTCAACTCAACTCAAAGGAATGTCTTGGATGAAATGATATTTAATGTGAAGGAGCCAGTGTAGCGAATAATAGAGAGGTGAATCTTCCAGACATAGCTAACAACATACAAAAATGCTCTGGGCTAAGAAAAATCTTGAGGAGCTGAAGAGAATTTTATAAGATCATTGAATTTGGAGCATAAAAAATAAGGGAGAATGAAATGAAGTGAGGTTAGATAGAAAAGTAAACAAGCATTATTTCTTCTTGCCTACCAGTTTGGGCATAAATATTACTCTCAGTACTTGAGAGGTCTATGGAAAGGTTTTGAAAGTAGACTAATTAGGAAGTCTATCATTGTCCAGATGAAGAAATGTGTTGCAAAAACACCATCTGGGAGCTGCGTTGGTGGTCTTAGACCTGTCCCTGTTTTGCCTTTGCCTCATTACTTATCTCCTTGAAATGATTAGTGATGCTTGACACTGGATAAGCATGTGTGTTTGATTTGACAATCTAATCCTTGATGTTATCTGAAAGTTTTTGAAAATGACAAAATCAAACATTTAGCAGTGGAATAGAGGAACTAAATCCTGGGGTGAGTGGATGGATGGGTAGGAGAGTCTGACAAAGAAAAGCCAGATAATCTAGAAAACAAGTGTGAAGTGTCATGGAGTCAAGACATTGTTTTTGTATAATGCATTTTTAATTTTGGAGCATTTTTAGAGTTACAGAAATGTTGCTAAGGTAGTACAGAGAATTTCCACATAGTTTCCCATAATGTTATCATTTTACATGACTCTGGTGCAATTGGAAAGAGTAAGAAATCAACACTACTATTAAAAACACTACACTCTATTCAGATGTCACCATTTTTTCTATTAATGACCTTTTTCTGTTCCAGGATCTGACCCAAAATACCACATTGTATTTAGATTTCCTGTTTGCTCATTCTACTCTGGTCTGTAACGAAATCTCTGAATTTGCTCATGATTTTAACAGTTTGGAGGAGTCCTGGTCAGGTGTATTTTGTAGACTGGACTTCAATTTAAGTTTGCCTAATGTTTTATCTTGTGATGATATTTGAGTTACAAGTTTTTAGAAAGAACACCCCAGAAGTGAAATGCCCTTCTAATTACATCAGATGAAAAGAACATGAGTCCACATGACTTGTTATAGAAGATGCTAACTTTGCTTGTTTAAGGTGGTATTTGCCCAATTTCTCTGCTGTAAAATTACTGTTGTTCCCTTTCCATACTTTACTCTTTGGAAATAAGTCACTAAGTTCAGCCTAGACTCAAAAGGGTGAGGGCTCATTTCCACCTCCTGAAGGAAAGATTAATTATGTATATTATATTAAATTCTTCTTTAAGGAATATTTGTCTAAAAGGAGAGAGGTTTAAAAAGGAAGGTGCGGTCATATTGTACTGTACGATTTATGCAGATGAATAATCAGAAGTCTTCATTGATTTTGAGTAAACAAAGGTTGGGGTTACCTTAGGAGGAAGAAAATCAATTTAATTATAAGGATGGAAGCTAGATAAGTGAGAAGAAGGATAGATGGCAGAGGAGGAATTAAAGACCACATATGCGAACACTTCTTTGGATGAAAGAGATTTCTGTCAAGTAAAAAGCGCATCCAAGAGACAAAGACATTACTGTTTGGAATGAAATTCATAGCGGGCATGTCTACGATTTCTTTGCTAATGAATGTCAAGTGTAAGTAGATGTGGCTTCTCCCCCACTTAGCCATGACCGGTCTGTATTGGGCATTTAATAAATTTTGTTTGAACAGTTGCAGGAAGCCTTGCAACTGCCCTTGACGAGAGTATGTTCACAGCCCACTTGGTTCTTCAAATCTTTACAGTTACTATACACATCCTCATACTCGCAAGAATTGGCTGGAAGAAAAACAAATAAATTAGTCACTTCAGTGTCATTTTGCTCCACAGCAGTAACTAACCCACACAATAAATTCCATGTGAGGGAAGAGGAGGGAATAGAGCAAACAAGTTGGCATTATTCATGACACTCTGATGGTCATTTCAAATCTTGTGACACATAAGGTTCCTTAGTTAAATTCACTGATTAAGGCATCATTTCTTGTAGAATTTGAGCTTTTGCAAATGTTTCCAAAATAATTGACTGACTTTCCTCCCTCAGAAAACAGGGTAAATGAAATTAAGTAAATCTCTCTGGAACTATACTTTCCAACAATATAGCCACTAACCATGTGGTTGTTTAAATTTAAACTTTATTAAATAACTTTGAAATTTCAGGTCCTCAGTGGTACTAGTTACATGTCAAGTGTTCGATAGTAGATGTATTTAGGGACTACTTCACAGGACAGTGCCAATGTGGAACATTGCCATCACTGCAGATAGTTACATTGGGCATTGTTGCCACCAGACTCTAATGCCACCAGCCTTTCCTTTAGGAGTAAGAAGTCATTATGAGAAGATGTGAGTGTGACAGTGTTAAAACAAGATTTTACTATTATTATTGGACATTTCCACTTGGATGTCCTTCAGTGGCCACAGACAGACTCAACAAATCTCAAACTAAATTCATCATCCTACCTACAAGTTTGACATTTCTTTGGTATCCCTCCCCAACTCCCAATTCAACACATCTCAAACTAAATTCATCATCCTACCTACAAGTTTGACATTTCTTTGGTATCCCTCTTCAACTTCCAACTCAATTCACCCAAGCTCAGGGGAATGGCCAGCTCCACTACTAAATAATTCCAACCAGGAACCAGGAAACTACCTGGACTCATCCCCCCCCCCTTTTTTTTTATCAACACATTACAAGCACACGTAATGAACGCTGGCTATTCTACTTCTCCCTGTCTCTCATAAACTGTCCCTTCTTCTTCATTAATTTTGCCCTAATACAGTAAAGATACTTATTTGGTTTTTGAAACCATGTTTTTCAATAGTCTCTCAGCTGGCTTCTACCCAATTGTTTCTTTCTACTCCTGCCAGGAGCTCTTTATAAAACACATTTCTGATCTCATCACTCTTCTGCCTAAAAGCTTTCAGTTGGCTACTCATTGCTAACAAGATACATTCCAAACTTCTGAACAGATAGTATTCAGCAAAGGTATAAGTATTTTCTTCTTTAGTTAATTGATAGCTTTTTATATCATCAGTATTCTGAATTATGGCTATATAGTTCACCCAGAAAGAACACTACAATTCAGTCAGGTGAATGAATTTGAGAGGTAAAAATGTCTCAACTGTATTGTTCATAATAATTCTAAACTAAAACAAAAAACAAAAACCCAACTTGTTGTACCTCAATTTATAACAACACTGGGAATGAGAAATTATATGGCATTCATTGTAATCCTTTTTGTTAAAATAGTTTTGGGGCTTCTATTAGGTAATAATGCTATATGCAGATTTGATAAGCATTTTAAAAGTACATAAAAGTTACTGGCAAACAAGAGTGCAAATGATTATTAAATTAAACTTGATGATTCTAACTAAGCTATGAAGAAAATTAGGAATTTGATATAATGAATACTTTGGTTTACAAGGGATTATATTTGTTGTGCTTGTCCAGACTGAGCCATATTCTGTGGTCTCACACTTTGATATTTGTACATATTTTCTTTTTAAAATGTCACTTTTTCTATAATGGCATTAACTTTGATGAAAAGAAAATTCATATTTAATTACAATAAATTATTTTCACAGAAACATTTTCATATATGCCAATATGTAATGGGTTCAACATAGTCAAAATGTATATTGATGGTAGATATTATTTAGGTTACACATGGTAACAGGCTTTCATTGCAAATAATACATATATACTGAAGGGTTTAAGATTTTTGCTTAAACACACTCTGTTGAATAATTTTCTTGACTTTTGCATGAAGGTATGGCTTAATTTGGTTCCTTTTAAGAGCTTTCCTAATTTAAAAAATATATATATCAGGTCATATAATTATACCAGTAAATTAATGACTTCAAACTTACTGCATAGTCCATTGTCACAGTGATCAGGGCAGCTGGCACACGATTTTCCTTGCAGATAAGGGGTATATTTTCTGCTAGCAACATTACCACTGAAATTTGAAAAACAACATGTCAAACTTTTTAATTTTTATTTTTTGGGTTTAGTTTCTGTTCCAAGGGTAGCATCTGTCACCATATATATCTGATTATTTATTCAATGTTTTTAATCTTGTCAATTGAAAAACTAATATTCCCAGTGAAGACTCAGATAATACAAAGTGAGATCTTAATTCACACATACACTCACTTCCTTGACCATCATCTCATAGTCTGAGCAACTGAAATGGAATAAATAGGGCCTAACGTTTTGAGAGTATATTTCACTGTGGCAACACTCTTCATCTCTCAGTAGACTTGATGAAATGGTACATCGGTGCACCCTGAGGTGCTGCCTAAGGGTCAAGCAGATCCCCTAGAGAGTGAGTAGAAGCTCAGAGGGGACAGAAGGTTGTGTTATGGAAAATACTTAATGTTAAATATAATTTTATATTTTAAAAGGTAACTATAATTATAATTTTTATAATATGAACGGGGGAAAGTAAAACTCCAAGATAAATTTTGGGTTCTAGCTGCAGGGTGGTGATGTTTTCAATGGCGTTGTGAAAAGTGAGTGTGTTAGGAAGGGTTTTGAATGTTGAGAGATTATTGTGTGTGAGATTTTTATGTTTACCAAAAATGGGAATGTTAGTAAGAAAAGTTTCATTAGCACAAATCTCCAGGGTATAATGGTCTTAAAATGCGTGTCATTCATGATTATTATCCTATTGGCAACTATAATGTGAAAATGCAAGAATCAAAGTTTCCATTGGACCAAGTAGTCCCAAGTCCCAAGGTAATGCATCTGAGTTGCAGTCTCCCTTCACAGAATATAGCTATACATGTGTGAGCCCTTGGAAAAAATTGTGAAACAGGTATAAAAATGATTTAGAAGTCTTCTCACTCCTATTTTCCTTATTACTCACTCCAACTCTCACTACTGATGCCTGGCTCCAGGGGTCTCCTCCCTCACAGCCTGCCAGTGAGTTGTGGTGTGTTCTCTTAGGAACCTTCAGTTCTTCCTACCAACCAGTGCTTACAGGAAAATGACTTTGAAGCTCACACTTCTCAAACTGGAATCCAACCTCACCTGGCATAAATGATGTGGGAATGATGTGGGAAGCTTGATTTGGGGGGACTTTCTTCTTCCAGTGGCAAGGAATTTCAAACATTAAAAATAACCTATATATTGTGAATATATCTTCAATATATTTATAGAAATTTTTGTGGATAATTCAAATATATTGCTTGAAAAAGGGGTATATTTTCTGCTATAAATCAAAATTTTAATGGCTGGTTCCTTCAGAGATTTTTGTGTTAAATTCTAAGAAGCAAAGACTTAAGAAATTGCCTTTTCTTGGCAATTTGAAATATATCAGGAATTTCCTGAAAACTCTTGGAGGCCCAAGATTTAATCAATTCAAAATAGTACATTAGAGGTATTTTCAGATAAGCAGAAGGGGGACCATTTGCGGAAAAAGGGCTGGGATCACTAAAATGTCATTGCCATTGGCTGCTTCACCTTTACCCTTGGCCTTCTCATCAAGCTATCACTCTCTAGAAAGTGAATTTAATAAAAATGGAGACAGTACCAAATCTAGAAAACACACAACATGTACCCATTAAGCCACCCTGAGCCTCAGGAAAAGCAATTGAGAGGGTAGACACATAATTTTAATCGTGATGGAAGACAGCTACAGGATATTAAACTTGAAACTGAGAATTTGGTCTTCTTTCTGAGAAGTTGATTATGTCTCAAATTTAGGAAAAATTTTCTAAATATTTATCTCTCCCCTTCACTGAAATCTGCTTTTTCAGTCTGAGTTGTCTGTTACATGATAATTTTAAAATATTCAATTGCTGATGGCATCATTGACAGCAAATTTGAAAGTATATACTTACGCAGGACAATATTGGCAAACATAGTAGTATTTTAGAGTTGGTTCATTGGGACAATAGGTCATTCCGCATCCAACTTTGAAAGATGAGTACCAAGCAACCTACAAACCCATAAGTAAAAATGTGAGAATGCATTGGAGAAGGAACTGTCAAAAAAACAAACAAACAAAAACAACAAATAATGGAAAATAAAAAACTGAAAATAATATTACTGATGTACAATTGCACATACCTTATGAAAATATTTTAATTATGTAATTAAAGTAAAAATATTGAAAAATATTACATTTTCACTATTTTATCCATTTAACTCTTTAAAAAATACAGAGTATGTTTCTCTATTAAAAGCCCAGAGGCTTTTGACAAATGACAGCTCACAGCTGAAATACCTACAAAACGCAAAGACTATTCTTTACCTACTTGAGATCTTCCCCCAGAGTTAACATTGGAATCAGTCAAAATTTTGAGAAGCTTTCTTTTTAGGGCATTTATGGCAAGGTTTTTTTTTTTTTTTCATTTGTCTGTCTCACCTGGGTATAATGTCCAACCTTGGCATCCTCATATTTTGGTCCTACACCATAGACAAAATCATTTGTCTCATCGAACCAGTTTTGGATTGCATGTGACCACAGAGTAGGCTCACTTGACATAAACAGATTCTCGCCACACTTAGTTTGACCTAAGAAGAAAGAGATCATTCATGAGGAAAACAATAAAGCATGCTATATCTATCTATCTATCTATCTATCTATCTATCATCTATCTATCTATCTATCTATCTATCTATCTATCTGTCTATCATCTATCTATCTATATTTATCTATCTAGATATATATACACACACACATATATATACATATATATGTATATGTATATGTATAAATATCAAGAGAGATCTATCTGTCTATCTATCTATCATCTATCTGTCTAGAGTCCCTAGAGTTCCTTCAAGCACAGAGTCCATAGTGGCTAACTGTTCATTAATACATAGAGAGTTCCTTATCAGCTATAAGCTGAATAGAAGCTGAATAGATGTGCGAAACACATTGAGGCTGATTTCAACATGTAAAAATTTTGAGTAGATGAAATCCTCTTTCTTTAATATCTACTCCCCCTAGAGCCATTCATTTATTTACATGTTAAATTTAACAGGCAAATAAATGAATGGCTCTAGGGGGAGTAGATATTAAGCCTCAGACTCTCTCTGCTGGGTACTGTTAGTTTGCTGAAGGCAGAAAGCAACTCATAATATTTCTCCTACTCTCACCCCCATTTACCAGACAGTTTTTATATATAGCAACTTTAATAAATGCTTAGGGCTGTTATTTTGTGTGAACTTTGAAAACAATCTGCCCAGCCGGTATGGCTCAGTGGATTAAGCATCATTCCCTGGACAGAGAGGTCCCAGTTCGATTTCTGGTCAAAACACATGCCTGGGTTGCAGGCTGGATCCCCAGTAGGGGGCATGCAGGAGGCAGCAGATAGATGTTTCTCTCTCACATTGATGTTTCTATCTCTTTCTCTCTCTTCCTCTGTTTCAAAAAAAATTGATGAAAGCATTTAAAAAACAAGATAAAACAATTTTACTCTCAGTCTTTAGGGCCCCAAGCATGAAACAAATGACACCAAGAGGGATAATATATTCAAAGTTTCTGGGTTTCCCCTTAATCAGCAAACCATAACATCACAGGCCAAATGCTCCTCAGAGAATGAGGATAAAAGTCTTTTGCAGCTCATAAACATTTCAATATATTTTTTAAACCCTGAAATTAAGATTTATGCTTGGATGGTTTAAAATGTAATATCTATATGCTACTTAAAGGGAGTATAAACTACTCTTGAATAGTTTCTTATGAGGGAAAGAAAGAAGCTGAGATTTTAACAGTAGACGAATCTTCAAAACCATTTGTTTCAATCTTCTACTGAATGTAGTCACCCCTCTTCAGAATCTCATTAAATTATAGTATTAAAAAATGCAAATAACAATGGCAGTCCTATTTTCAAAACAGGTGAGTTATTTACTACTTTCAACTTGGGCTGGCCTATATCTATCATTTGATAATTAAGTAAATATTTTGTTTACTTGTTAATACATATGATATCTAATTGTTTTCAGGTTCTTTGGTGTAGAGGTCATGTCTTTGAGGCTATTTTTTAGTCTCATATAGTATTTCATGCTTTGTAAGAGGCACCCAGAACATACAAAACACTTGACTTACTGTCATCAAAAATTTAAATGATGCTAATGCTAAATATTTTTGAGTAAAATCCAGAAACTGTTTGAAAAAATTCAACATATTTTATAAATCCAAAAATAAGTAGTTTTCAACACACAAACAGGCTCCATAGTATGAAAAGGGCCCTGGGTTAGAAGCCTGTAATTCTCATTTTAAACTTCCCAGACATACTTATAAGCAATTGTTTTCCCGCTAACAGTGAGTCCCCTACTCTTTAAAATAGACAAGAGAAGTCACATGACCTGCTTTACTCATGAGATGGGCAAGAGGGACAAATGTGATATTGTGGGAGACAGTTTTTGTAAATGATAAAACAATAAAGCACAAGGTGGCGCTTCTCAGAGTTTTCTTTTGCACAGAGATACTTGACCATGAAAAAGGCAGCTTTAGAAGCAACATTTAATATCTTCATGCAGCATGACAAAATGGCCCCTGATTATCTTGTTTGTCTACTCAACAAATATTTATACATTTACATACCGAGTGCTCGATCCTGTGGTGAGCTGTGTCTGTAATGGCACTTGTCTGCCCACTGTTGGGCCTGTGCTGCTGCCTTGCTGTCCCAACTCTAAAACAAAGAGGGAAAAGATATGCACTTAATGAGTCAAACCGTGAAGGTGCATAAACTTTATAATGAGATTGGTAGGTTGAACTCACATCATTATACATTTTTCTGTACATGCATATTCTGATTATTCTTCCAATCAAAGACATATTTTTGATGTGCCCTTTTTCTGCCCCATAAAGAAATATAGAGCTCTGGCCGGTTTGGCTCAGTGGTTAGAGTGTCGGTCCGTGGACCAATGAGTTGCGGATTCGATTTTGGCCAAGGGCACATCTCTGGCCTTGGTCCAGGTCATGTGGGAGGCAGCCAGTTGATGTGTCTCTCTCACATTGGTGTTTCCCTCTCTCTCTCCCCCATTCCCACTCTATCTGAAGATATTTGGAAAAATGTCCTCAGGTGAGGATTAAAAATATAGAGAGAGAGATAGATAGTATGGCTACCCTAAGTAACTGTAAAATCTGAGATAGTTCATCGTCTACGTATGATAGCACAGCAGGAACACCTAAAGACTTTCAGCAGTGGTCCTGCTGCAAATATCGATAAACATGTAGATGTATTGATGTTACTTTTCCTGTAACATTGAGCTGGCATACTGCATTCTAATTTCCTCACCCCTCCCCCTCCCTCAATGAAGCCATTTGGGGGATATTTGGCTTTCAGTACTGGGTCCAGAATGGTCTGTTATTTACCCAAAATGGCATGGATCCTAATGGGAAAAGGCCTTTCTGATTCTAGATTATGTGAGCTCATGATCAGAAAAACATAACGACACTAAAGATTTGGGTTTAATTCTACCTCCACAACATAAATAGCCCTGTAAAATGGTCAAGTCATCAAACCATTATAACATACAATTAAGAGTTTTTGCCTTGTCTCATGGAGCTAATGAAGGTTAGCTTTGGGCCCCTCTCTTGCATAGGCCCTTCCAAGGTTGTTCTAGGGAACCTCAGAATATGCATGTTCATTTTTTTTTTTTTTTCCAATTTGCAGGGGTAAGATAGTTTTGTACTCTCTTCCTTAAAAAGGATTCCTTTAAGCTTCAAGTAAGCAAAACGTGAATTTCCCCAATGAACAGCATATCTCCGAGGAAAGGTCTAGGTTGCAAGGTGAAACTGTAGTGGACATCAGTAATAAGGATGATGTCGATGATGATTATAGGTCGTCTGATTGTACTGAGAGGAACTGGACAGAAGAGCTGCCTACAGCCAGATAACTTACTGGAAATTGTTTGGGATCAAAACAAACAGAAACGGCCCAGTGAAAGTGTCTAAAAGCCAAATTATCAAGGTCAGATGGCATACACTAATCTCAGGGCCAGCAGGGTTCACAAATGGCTTCAGACGCTCCATGGATACCTTGATCTTGTATGCAAATTATATATACATGTATGCATTTTTTTTCTGGGAAGAGAAATTCGACTCACAAAGATGGGAAACTGAAATTGCCAGGATAGCCACTCGATTCTGACAGATTATATTATTCTAGTGAATAGCACTAATCATGGCAGGATGATATATAATGCATAAGCAAAAACAGCATGTGGAATGAAAAAAGTAGTTCTGCCTTGTCCATAACACAGCTCTGTGGAAATGACAGACACTGAACTTCCTAAGTCACAGAGTTCTCAGGAGATCTTATTGACTAGAAGCCTATGCTGGCTTGGACCCTTCCCTCCTTACTGCCTCTTACCATCTTCAGCATGTTGCTGGCAGGCGGAGAGACGGCTCTCCGTAGGTCATTGTGTTTATTTACAATCTCTTGTTGCACTTCTTTCTGGGTCGTTGACAAATCATCAATATCGAGATCCTAGAGGAAAACCAAATTAGAATCATTAATGTTTTTAAGTTTTACAAAGATTATTTAAGAATTTTTTTCAAACCAGTATCAGTTGTTAAGCATTGCCAAGGAATCTGGACCAAAGCTATGACTTTTAAATAGGAAAGAAATAGTATTAAATTTTGAGAGTGTGAGTGTTATTCATATCATGACAACTACAAACTCCTCTGATGTCCTGGCCGGTGTGGCTCAGTTGGTTGAGCATTGTCTTTTGCATGGAAAAGTTGCTGGTTCAATTCCCGGTCAGGGAACATGCCATACCCATGTTTCAGGTTCAATCCCAGGTCGGGGTGGGTACAGGAAGTAACTGATCTATGTTTCTCTCTCACATCGATATTTCTCACGTTCTCTCTCTAAAAAAAAAAAAAAAAAAAAAAAATCAATAAAAACGTATTTAAAAACACCTCTGGGGCCACAAGTACCACTTTCTAGTATTAGGAGATGCCATAATGTGATTTTCAAGACAGATGAGTGATAGCATAACAACAAAGTTATAAGACATTCTCATTCACAGTCAGGCTGCAGTAAGGGAATTGCAAGCGTGGGGACAGGGGATTCATCTAGACTTTAAGGGGAACTTTGACCAGACATGCTACCTATATTCAAAGGAAGAATGTTTAAGCCCAGTTCAAGAGTATTCAATACTCTAGTCAATGGTTCTACCTGTTATGTAGCAGATTTTATGGAATTACCCAAAAGACCGTTTTATAATATTAAACAAACCTCCAAGGCAATTTGGAGGGATCAAAACTATCCAATTAATAGACTATTACTGACTTTGTTCATTTTAGTAACAAAAATATAATTAAGGTATTAAACCAGATCCTCATACTTTTTATGTGTCTTTGAGGGAGGAGTGTCTAAGCCCAGAGGCAGAGTAGGTTGTGTGATTGTTCCATAAGGTTTCCACAATTTGATGGCCTGAATTTACACAAGAATGCGATGCTATAGAAGCATACACCAAGGTTTTGAAGTATAAGTCTCAACAAACAGAGCCCTTTGTTGATTTTCCTTGAGACTCTGGAATAAGTTATACTCTCCTCTTTCAAATACTGAGTTTTATTCAGTGCTCTCCAAATACTGCAAACATAGGTCTGACCACGTTCTATGGCCACTATCTAGTCCATTTTCACTCCTACTCGTATGTTCCTAAGGACAGGGATCAGAACGAATGTACCCACAGATCTGGCACATTCCACCCACTGACTCCTAAATGAAAGGGACACACTTGAAAATATTAGCAGTGGTCAATGAAAGTGTCAAGTAACATACCTGGACAAGTCCTGTTAACCCTCAAAAACCTGCTTGAAACAGTTTCATCTCAAAGCATATCAAAATGTGGCTCCTGAGAAAGAAGTAATTATGTTCTGCTTCTTATCCAATCGTGTTTTGTAGATTTAAAAAATCTACTAAAAAAAGACATGTTTTTGTTTATTTTTAAATAAGTATTAATAAAGTTTTAATTAGATGATGAGAAATATGAAACATGTTGAGAATGAAATGGATAAAATATGGTATCTGTCTATCCTTAAATAATTTATATTGGATAGACCATATGACAAATAACAATAATACCATATGATAAATGAAATGATAGGCAATATCTACTACATACAGAGGAAGGAGAAATTAATTGTTTATGATTGGTGCTAGGAAATTGGGTTTTAAGAGGTGAATAGTGTTTCCTAAGCACCTTGAGAAGGCAACCCCACTAGATGGTGGGGATGTGCAAAAGACATGATGATATGGTCTCTTTTATTTTTTTATTTTCTCATTTTCTTTAATTAATTAATTTATTTTTGTTACAGATGTTTCTCCTTTCTCCCCAACTGATTCCCCCTACCCTTCCCTCCCCACCCTGTCCCCAGCTTTGTTGTTCATGTCCATTTTTCGTGCATGCATACAAATAAGTTCTGTGGTTTATCTCAGCCCACAACCCCCTCTCTGGGGATTGTCAGTCTGTACTCCACTTCCACATCTCTGGGACTACCCCATTCCTCAGACTGTTATGTTCATTATATTCCACAAATAAGTGAGATCATATGATACTTGCCTTTCTCTGTTTGGCTTATTTCGCTTACGATAATACTTTCCAGGTGTCTCCATGTTGTCTCAAAGGATAAGAGATCTTTCTTTCTTACAGCTGCATAGTACTCCATTGTGTATATGTACCACCACCGTTTTATCCATCAGTCTACTGACGGACATTTGGGCTGTTTCCAGATCTCAGCTATTGTAAATAGTGCTGCTACAAATATGGGGGTACATATGTTCTTTCTGATTGGTGTTTCAGGCTTCTTAGGGCATATTCCTAGAAGTGGGATCACTGGATTAAATGGAAGTTTAATTTTAATTTTTTGAGGAAACACCATATTGTTTTCCATAGTGGATGCACCAGTCTGCATTCCCACCAGTAGCATACTAGAGTCGCCTTTTCTCCACACCCTCACCAACACTTGTTTGATGATTTGTTGATGGCTGCCATTCTGACAGGTGTGAGGTGATACCTCATTGTTGTTTTAATTTCCATCTCTCTGATGATTAGTGATGTTGAGCATTTCTTCATATGTCTCTTAGCCATTTGTATGTCCTGTTTGGAGAGGTGTCAATTCAGCTCCTCTGCCCATTTTTTAATTGGGTTCGTCTTTCTTTTGTTGAGTTGTATGAATACTCTCTATATATTGGAAATTACCCCCTTATCTGATCCATCATTGGCAATGATGCTCTCCCATACAGTAGGTTGCCTTTCCATTTTGGTGATTGTTTCTTTTGCTGTGCAGAAGCTTTTTAGTTTGATGTAGTCTCATGTGTTCATTTTCTCCTTTTTTTCTGTTGCCTTAGGTGATGTATCAGTGAAAATTCTGCTGCGTATGATGTCTGAAATTTTGTTGCCTACAGTTTCTTCTAGGATTTTTATGGATTCATGAGTCACATTTTAGTCTTTTATCCATTTTGAGTTTATTCTTGTGTATGGTGTAAGTTGATGGTCTAGTTTCATTTTTTTGCATGTAGCTATCCAATTTTCACACCGTTTATTAAAGAGGCTGTCTTCACTCCATTGTATGCTCTTGCCTCCTTTGTCAAATATTAATTGAGCATAATGTCTTGGGTCCATTTCTGGGTTCTCTGTTCTGTTTCCCTGGTCTATATGCCTGTTTTTGTGCCAGTACCAGACTGTTTTTATTACAGTAGCTTTGTAGTATAACCTGATATCTGGTATTGTGATCCCACCTACTTTTTCCTTCTTTTTCAAGATTGTTGTGAATATTTGGGGTCTTTCTTGGTTCCATATAAACTTTTGAAGTATTTGTTCTAGTTCTGTGAAGTATGTTGTTGGTATTTTGATGGGGATTCCATTGAATCTATTTGGGTAATATGGACATTTTAATGATGTTAATTCTTCCAATCCATGAACAAGGTATGCACTTTCACTTTTTATATCTTCCTCTATTTCTTTTTTCAATGTCCTGTAGTTTTCTGCAAATAGATCCTTTACATCTTTGGTTAAGTTTATTTCTAGGTGTCTTAATTTTTTTGCTGCGATGGTTAATGTGATTGTCCTCTCAGTTTCTCTTTCTGTGACTTCATCATTGGTATATAAGAATGCCATTGATTTCTTAACGTTAATCTTGTATCTGACTACTTTGCAAAATTCAGTTATTAAGTGTAGTAGATTTTTGATGGAGTCTTTAGTGTTTTCTATGTATAATATCATGTCATCTGCAAATAATGACAGTTACACTTCCTCCTTTCCAGTTTGTTCCCTTTTATTTTTTCTCTGTGTCTGAATATTGTGGGTAAGAATTCCAGTACTATGTTAAATAAGAGTGGCAAACGTGGGCATCCCTATCTTGTTCCTGTTCTTAAGGGAAATGCTTTTAGTTTCTGCCCATTGAGTATAATGTTGGCTATAGGTCTTTGATATATGGCTTTATTATGTTGAGATATGATCCCTCTATTCCCACATTGCTGAGCGTTTTTATCAGAATTGGATGCTGGATTTTGTCAAATGCTTTTTCATCGTCTATTGATATGATAATGTGGATTTATTCTTTATTTTATTTATGTGGTATATCACATTTATTGATTTGCGAATATTGTACCAGCCTTGCATTCCTGAGATGAATACCATTTGGTCATGGTGAATAATTTTTTTGATGTATTGCTGGAGCCGATTTGCTAATATTTTATTCAAGATTTTGGCATCTATGTTCATCAGGGATATTGGTCTGTAATTTCCTTTCTTTGTAGTGTCTTTTTCTGGTTTTGGAATTAGAATTATGCTGGCTTCATAAAACAAGTTTGGAAGTCTTCCTTCTTCTTGAATTTTTTGAAATAGTTTGATGAGAATGGGTATTTTTTTTTTTTTTGAATATTCAGTAAAATTTCCCCATGAAGCTATCCGGGCCTGGGCTTTTGTTTGCTGGGAGAGTCTTGATTACATCTTCAATTTATTTTGTTGTTATTGGTCTGTTCAAGTTTTCTCTCTCTTCCCAGTTCAGTTTTGGGAGACTGTTTCTTGAAATTTGTCCTTTTTGCTCAGATTGTTGAATTTGTTGGCATATAATTGTTCATAATATTTGTTCACAATCCTTTGTATTTCTGTGGTGTTAGTTATTATTTCTCCTCTTTCATTTCTTATTTTGTGTATTTGGGTTATCTCTTTTTGTTTCTTGGTGAGTCTAGCTAATAGTTCATCAATCTTGTTTATCTTTTCAAAGAACCTGCTCTTTGTTTCATTGAGTCTCTGAATTGCTTTTTGGTCTCCATGTCATTTATTTCTGCTCTGATCTTTACTATTTCCCTCCTTCTACTTGCTCTGTGGTTTTCTTTTTGTTTGCTTTCTAGTTCTTTAAGTTGTGAAGTTAGTCTATTAGAAATTTTTCTTGCTTCTTGAGGTAAGCCTGTAGTGCTATGAATTTCACTCTCAGAATTGCTTTCGCGGCATCCCATAGATTTTGTGTTGTTGTGTGTTGATTTTCATTGGTTTCCAGGAAGTGTTTAATTTCTTCCTTGATCACCATGGTAACCCATTCATTGTCCAATAACATGCTATTTAGCCTCCATGTGTTCAAATGTCTTTGCATGTTTTTGTTGCAATTGATTTCTAGTTTCATGCCATTGTGATCTGAGAAGATGCTTGATATAATTTATCTCTCCTTGAACTTGTAGAGATTTAGTTTGTGTCCTATCATGTGGTCTATCTTTGAGAAAGTCCCATGTGCACTTGAGAAGAATGTGAATTCTATAGTTTTGGGGTGTAATACTCTGTAGATCTCTATTAAATCCATTTGGTCTAGTGCTTTATTTAGAGTCTGTTTTCTTGCTAATTTTTTGTCTAGAGGATCTATCCAGTGATGTCATCGGGGTGTTGAAGTCCCCTGCTATGATTGTATTGCTGTCGATTTCTCCTTTAAAGTCGTCCCAAAGATTTTGAATATATGTTGGTGCTTCTATATTGGGTACATAGATGTTTATCAAGGTTACATCTTCCTTTTGGATAGATACGTTCAATATTATGTAGTGGCCTTCTTTGTCTCTAGTTATGGCCTTCATTTTGAAGTTTATTCTATCAGATATGAGTATTGTTACCCCAGATTTTTTTTTTTTCTTTCCGTTTGCTTGGAAGACTTTTCCATCCCTTCACTTTCAACCTATATGAGTCGTTTGTTGTGAGGTGGGTCTTTGATAATAATATATAGATGAGTCATGTTTTCTTATCCAATCAGCTACTCTGCATCTTTTTATCGGAGCATTCAATCCATTTAGATTTAAGGTGATTATTGATAGGTACTTATTTATTGCCATTTTTTTTTAGTTTGGTTCTATTTTTATTCCTATTTCTTCTACTAATTGCAGCAGTTCTTTTAACATTTCTTGCAGTGCTGGTTAGGTGCTAATGTATTCCTTTAACTTTTTTTTTTTTGGTCTGGAAAGCTCTTTATTCAATCTTGTATTTTGAATGAGAGCCTTGCTGGATAGAGTAGTCTTGGATTCAGATCCTTGTTTTTCATGACCTTGAATACTTCAAGACATTTTCTTCTGGCCTGTAGTTTTTCTGTTGAGAAGTCAGCTGAGAGCCTAATGGGGTTTCCTTTGTAGGTAACCTGTTACTTATCTCTTGCTGCTTTTAGGATTCTATTTTTGTCTTTAATTTTTGGCATTTTAATTACTATGTGTCTTGGTGTGGGCCTGTTTGGGTTCTTCTTACTTGGGGCTCTCTGTGATTCTTGAACTCGAATGTCTTCTTCCTTCACCAAATTAAGGAAGTTTTCTGTCACTGTTTCTTCAAATATATTCTCTAACCCTTGCTCATTTTCTTCCTCTTCGGAGACGCCTATGATGTGAAAATTATTATGTTTCCAGTTGTCCCACAGTTCTCTTAAGCTGTCTTCCTTTTTTTTCATTGTTTTTTCCTTTTGTTTTTTTTATTAGTTCATTTTTTTCTACCCTGTCTTCTAATTCACTGATCTGGTTCTCAGCTTCTTCTACTCTGCTGTTTAGACCTACTAATGTGTTCTTTATTTCTGATATGTCATTCTTCATTTCTTCTTGGTGGTTTTGAATTTCCAATTGGTTGATTTTCAACATTTCTGTGTCCTTACTCATGCTGTTGAGCTTCCTCAAGATCATGGCTCTGAATTCTAGCTCTGCTAACTTGCTTAACTGCTCCACATTTATCTCATCTTTGGTAGAGGTCTCCTTTTCTTTCATTTGGCTCTTGTTTCTTTTTTCCACCATTTTGGCTATCACAGTGTGCTTTGGAGCCTGCAAATTTTTCCTGTGAGTGTTGGTGTTCTGTTGTTTGTGGCTCCATCTCCTGGGTTTGGATGAGCGAGAGAGGACCCATATTAAACACCACTGTCAAGTCTTACTTTCCTGGTTAGAGTTGCTAGCCCAGGAATGGTACAGTAATCCTGGAGGCTATCAGCGGCAGTTACTTGAAGAGCCTTGGGTTCTCAGGTGAAAGAAAAACTCCCTCAGGTGCTCAGCATAAGGGGATTTCCCGTGGTTGGGGCAGATGCTGGTTGTTAATGAGCCTCAATTTGCATTTCAGTGGCCCACCTCAGTGGGGTTGAATCTTTGAGCAGGGGCCACTGCCTCTCCCGAGAACCCTGGGAAGGAGTAAGAAGGCCACTGTCCTACGTGGCTACAACTCAGAAAAATCTCTGAGCCCCCTCCAAATCCTGATTGTCCCCACACAGTTCCAGTCCAGTCTCCTCTCCCTGTGCCAGAGCGCAAGGTGAGTGGCTATTTAGCATCCGTCCTGGCTCTGCACTGTGGAGGTGCTTAGGAGTTTAACCCGAGGATGCTGCTCACAGCTAAAGCCGCTGCTGTCCATGGGCTCCCAGGTCCCCTCTCATGCCTCCACAATCCTAACAAAATTGAGTCAGTGTCCCTGGTTATATGATCCTCGCAAGTTGCTTTTCTGTTTCTTTTTCCCATTGATTTGTCTTTATTTTAGTTGTAATTCCAGTTTGGTCCTGGGAAATGGTCTGTGTAGCTTCCATTCACTCCACTGCCATTTTGGAATCTCCGATATGGTCTTTTTAAATAATTTTATGAATGAAGCTCAGGAAATGAACGAGAGATGTTAACAGAGAATTGTAAAGGGCCATGAAAGAAAATCTTTAGGAAAAAAATTGGGAAGATGGAAAACGACTTGATTGAAGCCCTGTATGATGGCTATATGTCTTCAGATTGAAAATTTGATCAATAATGAATGAATTTCTGATGCCCAAATGAGGTTTGACTCAGTGTCAGAACTCTCTGGTCTGAGGGAGGGGTCCTAGCTAATTTGTATGCTCAGAGCTAAAGAAGGGCATGGGAACAGACAGTGGGAACCAGGGCTCCTCACGTTCACAGCTTTCTTGATCATAAAATAGACTTCCTGTATGGGCACCTACACACCATTTGAAGAGGATAACTGAAACAGCCTTTGGGATTATTATTATTATTATTTTAAAATACTCATCCAAGGATATTTTACAATTGAACTTTAAAAAGAGTGTGTGTGTGTGGGGGGGAAACATTGATGTGAGAGAGACACATAGATTGGCTGCCTCCCACGTGATCCTGACCATGCTGGTGATTGAACCCAAAACCGAGGTACATGCCCTTGACTGGAAACTGAACCTGCGGCTCCGTGGTCCTCAGACAAACACTGCAACAGCTGAGCCAAACCAGCACTGCTCTTGGGATGATTAGAGTGAAGCAGCATAATAGAAATTAGAGCATTTTATCTTACACAAATTAATTGTAAAAATTATGAAGAAATCCAGATGCTTACTCTCTGAGTAAATTTTCTTTTTTATAATAAAAAAAAATAAGTATAATTATTCTCAGATAATAACTGTGAAAATTAAATTTGGTGATGTTTGTAAAGAAGTTTTGCTAATATGAGACTATGTAAGTATATTGTTGATTTCTGATGGGGATCACATTGAACTAGATGAAATAAAAGCACAGAAAAGATCTTGAGATAGGAGAGTGTGTTAACATTTGAACCCATAGACCAGTGTTGTCAATAGAAAAATAATTAAAGCATAATTTTGATGTTTTTGGTGGCCACTTTACAAAAGTAAAACAAATTAAATTGATATCTGTAATATATTTTAAAGCATATTCAATACATGCTATCATCATGCAATCCATATTAAAATTATTAATGAGATATTTTACCTCCCTTTTTAAATTCAGTTTTTGAAGTCTGCTATGTATTATATTTATGCAGATCTCAATTCTGACTATTCACATTTCCAGTGTTCAATACTTTCATGTGTTTAGGGGCTACCATACTTTGTGATGCTCCAGACACTCTCGCCCTTTTTACTTTTGAAAATGGATCTAGTCACTTGCTGTCCTTCAAGGTTGTTTGAATTGACCTGAAAATATTTTGAATCTCAACCATACCTCTCCATGTGCAGGAAAGAAGGAAAGCAACACAGCAGCCAGAAACACCGGGAACGATGCCATTGCTGGGAAAACAGAACAAAGACCTGCGTTGGAATCTTAGTGCATGAACTTCCAAGGAACACAGGGTGGGTCTGGGGCAATCAAACAACGTAACAATATCAGTTATCCCAAATTCATTAGTAACATAACAAGAGAAGTCCTGTCCAGGGTGCCAGTAGAAAGATAATGACTTCAACCCCCGCAAGCTTCCAATGGAGATGACAAAGAACAAAGAGAGGTACTTGACTGAAGGTCTTGAAGTAGTACACCTGTAAGTATCAAGGTTACACTACCCAAATCCACCCTGGGCCCACAGTTTTGTCTCTGTAGCAACTCTTCAAGTTCTAGGAATGTCTTCTTCACGTTGCTCATTTAGGAGTGATAATAGTTCCCAACTATTACTAATACGGGATACTACTGCCCTAGTCTTTGCTAGTTTCCTTCACCCTGCCTATCTTTATAAATATCCCCTTATTAACATCTCTTCAGTTTATACTAAGCATGTGCCATTTCTTTCTTCTGACTCATCTGCTTGCCAGTCCTATAACCATAGGTCAATCCACTAAGAAATAGTGATGTTTTACTATTTACTAAATATACTTTCAACCACTCCTCTCAGCTCTGTGTACCTGTTGTCATTCATTCTTACTCAAACTTTTCTTTCTATTACACTGCTTTAAATTCCAAAAAAAAAAAAAAAAGGTAATATTCACCTTTTGGATCTAAAAATAGAAAATCACTTTTAAGAGATTACCCACCCAATCTGTATGAATAGCCTTCATATGTTCACATCCTTTGCCCCACTAATTCAATTCTTGGAATCCTTAAGAAATAATATATACTGGAAAAACTTTAGGCATATATATTTTTTGTCACATTAATATTTATAAGGGTAAAACACTTACATGCACAATAACAGGGAGATGAAATGTCTAAATAAATTAAAATACTTCCTCTTGTTAAAGTATATTAGATACAAAATCATGTCTATGATGGTTCTGTGACAAGAAAAATGTATATGCTTCAACATTAAGTCGGGAAAAAACCACACAAATAGTACAAGGGTGATCTTTAGCTTTCGTTATGGATGAATGTTTGTGTCCTCTCGAAATTCATATGTTGAAGTTCTAACTCCCAGTGAGGCTGTATTTGTATTTGGGCTTTTAGAAAAGTCATTAAGGAAAAATGAGGACATAAAGATGTGTCCTGATTCACTAGGATTCATGTTTATATAAGGAGACACCAGAGAGTACATATTTACTGTGCATGTTCTCTCTCTTCTTCTCTCTCTCTCTAAAAAAAATAGTTATCAATAAAAAATAAGAAAACATATTGCTATTATTTACTAATACTGTGTAAATTCTGGTATTAGCTATCTTTTCCTTCCCTTCTCTTTCAATGTATTTTTAAGTATATTTTGCTATTCTAAAGCAGAATAATGAATTAGTTTATCAAAACTAAAAAAAAAGAGAGTGGAAGAGATGGAGGGATGGGGAGAGGGGAAAGAGAAAGAGAGACATTGATGTGAGAGAGACACATCAATTGTTTGTCTCTTGCACGTGCCCTAACTAGGGCCAAGGATGGACCTACAATCCAGGTACATGACCTTGACCAGGAACCAAATCCATGACCCTGGAGAGTTGATGCTCTCACCACTGATCTTCACTAACCAGGGAATATTCTTCTTTTTTATACAAGTCAATGGCAATCAGATATTGTTCTTTCTTTTAACAAGCATTCATCTAGTTTTACACACTGTATCTAGGGTAGTAGCATGCTAGATATTGTTGAACATGACCAAGGGACTAAGATTTGATTCCTGCCTGCCCTTAGAGCCCTAGCATACTATTAATGGAGTCCATCATTCAGGTACCCAGCATGTGGGTTATTTGGACTTTCCCATGCATGCAAAAGTGAAGGCTAAAGTTTTCTTTTCCTTTGCACTGACAAATTGTGATGCTTTTGAAAAAAGATGGCGAGAATCTAGCATAATGCAGGGTACTGGAAGTAAATATTAGAGATGGGGTAACTATGACTAAGATCTAGCATCAGCTGGAGACCCAAAGCATTTAGCTCCCCTCCTTCCTCTTCCCAGGTGCCTATGGAATATGGTTTATTTTACTTTCATTGAGTAGAGTCTCATAGAAAACACTAAAAATAATTAGGTAAATAATGGCCTCTTCCTGTCTACATGCAAGTAGATTCTTTTAAAATAATTCCCCCCAAAGAGTTAGTTTGCCAAGTCTCTCCTGTCACATGGTTTTCCACTCTGCTGTTTGTAAATCTCCTTTTTCAAAGAGATTAGTAATTTCTCTTAAGTGTGACTACAGAACAGCCAAATCCAGACATTTCAGACATGTGTGTTTCCAAGTGCTGACAGTTTACTGGTATCTGAATACAAACAGTAGAGAGCAAGCCGTGTCTTTCTGAAGCATACATGTAAATGATGCCATTAAACAGCAACGGGCTGCTCCTTCCCCACATTGGCGTTAGAACCACCACTATGTTTCACTCACTCACTTGAAAAAGAAAATAATTTGTTTTCCAATGACATATCACTGTCTATTAATGGATAAAAACATATTTACAAAAATTATACTAGCGTATGTAACCTTAAAAGTCCTTTTTGTGGACATAAGGATTTTGAAATGATAAACTAGGAAGAATTCTTAGTTCTAAGAGAACTCCTAAAAGGGTCCGTTTGCAAAGTAAGCCTTTAGTCTTCTATTGCAGTCAAATGTCTGAATAGGCAGGCTTCTGGTCATCACCCCATGAACTGATGGGAAGAGAGGGGCAAAAGGGAAGCATGGCTTCCAAGAGAGCATCAAGAAGACAGTGAGAAAATCTGAAGAGAAGTCTCTTATGACCTCAAGTATGCGTGTTTGGATGTGTGTAAGTGTGAGTGTGTGTAAGTGTGAGTGTGCGTGTGAGTGTGCGAGAGTGTGTGTGAGTGCGTCTGTATGTGTGTGGTGAGTGAGTGTGAGTGTGCATGTGCACATGTGCGTGTGTGTGAATGTGTATGTATGTGGTGAGTGTGTGTGTGAAAGAGTGTGAGTGGGTGTATGAGAGTATGTGTGAGTGTGTGTGTGAGTGTGTGTGTGGTGAGTGTGAGTGTGTATGAGTGTGTGTGTATGGTGAGTGTAAAGTGGAGGACATCCTGGGAACGGGGCTGGCCTGATCATATAGCTTCAGTAACGACGTTTAGTTCTTGCTTTTCCCTCATGACAATCTGCTTCCCCTTTATTGCTAAGTTCTAGAGCAAAGCACGAGCTCTGGTGCCATATGTCTGCGCGACAGCATCTTGGAAACAAGCACCTCCGTCACGTGTCGAGGACTACTGAAAATAAAGACACGCGGACTCGCCTCCAGCGTCATTACCGTCACACCTCTACTGCTCCCTACCGCCTCGGTTACTGAGTGTAACGTAGTGCGCCGACCTCCTCCCAAAGCGGTTTCTCCCGAAGGAGTAGCCTGAGGAGTGGTAGCGAAGGAAATGATTCTGGGAATGTTTCCTCAAACAGATGAGGCTAATAGTACATGATATATAAGCTCATTTTGTAAATAAAATGCAAAAAACCTAACAAAATTTTAGCTCACCAATTTCAAAAATGCATTTAAAATTTTATAATCAAGTAAAGTTTATATCAGGACTGCAAGGATATTTTAAAATTTGAAAATTCATCACATGGATGAACTAAAAATATGTGGGAAACATAGTTTACTAAATTTAATCCCTAGTTATAGCTTAAAAAAAAAGAAAAGAACAGAGGAGATCATTAATTTGGTAATGACATATCACTAAATATCTATTTCAATAGTTACTGGAGAAATTAGGTACATTCCATTTAACATTGGGAACAAGAGAAAACGATAAATGTTACTGTTATTGTTCAACATGGAAGTGGAGAGTTCCTGATTAAAGCAATTAACAAAACAAAAATATATATTCATTAGTCTTGTAAGGGAAGAGATAACATTGTTATTATTTTCAAATGACATGGTCATCTATCCATAAATTACACCGTAATCAATGTTTACTAGATGAAATATCAGCCTACAAAAATACTATTGTCATATAGCAGCAATACTCAACTAGAAAATAAGATTAATAGAAAGATGCTACCCATAATAGTAACAAACACTATAACGTATCTATGAAATAACCAAGAATAATCCTTTTTGGGGAAAACTTAAAAACTCTAGTAAAAGACATTAAAGAGCCCTGGCTGGTTTGGCTCAGCGGTTAGAGCATTGGCCCAAGGACCAGAGAGTCCCAGGTTCAGTCCCTGCTAAGGGCACATACCTTGGTTGCAGTTTATCCCCAGCCCCAGTTGGGGTCATGTGGGTGGCAGCCAGTCAATGTGTCTCTCTCACATCGATGTTTCTCTCTCTCTGTTCCCTACTCTCTCCCTCCTGCTCTATCTGAACATAAATGTAAACATGTTCTTAGGTGAGGATTAAAAAAAAAAGACATTAAATATCTGCATGAATTGAGAGATTTCCACACTCCTAATTTGTATACTAATAAGACAATTCTTTATATTCTAATAAAAATTCTGATTGGCATATGAATAAGTACACCTTTATAAAAAGAATTAATATAGGTGTCTTTTCAGATTTCATTATTAAAATAGACTTCAAACTTATGTTGACAAAAATTTGATACTGTTGTAGGAACAGACAAATAGACCAAAGGAGGTGAATAGAAAGTTGAAGAGACAGACCAAACAAAATAGCGTAAAAATGTATTTAAGAGGAAGATTAGGTTATTTAGCATATAGTGTTAGAAAAACTGGTTCACTATATGGACAAAATTGAAACCAGATCCTTTCTAAGCATCACACACACACACAAAAGTTAAGTGTAGAGGAATTAAATATATAAATAGGTTTTAAAAAATGTCTACATGTAACTTTTCTGGGCTACCCCTTTGCTCTAAGTGAGTCTCCCACAACAATGCCAGAGCAAGGTGAGACTGTGGATGTGTGAAGCACTGTCTCCCTCTATGGGAGCTCATGCGA